GCCATGGCCGGTTGGGATGAAGAGGCACTGCTCGTCGCCAGTCTTGTTGTTGAAGACACCCCAGATCGCCAAATCAAACACAAGAAACGCTCCAATTTACAGAATATCAAGACCCCACCTACAAATTCAACAAGGTATTAACAGTACTTGGGATTCATGTAAATAGTTTTCGTTTTTCAGATTCATCCGCCGGTGTTTGATTTATCTTTTTGAGGAATTACCCTATTGTTCTTTTTAATTTCCAGAAAACGCAGGGCTCGGAGAAGGAGTCCTGCTTCAATACCCGTGGTTGTTCTTGATCTTGATGAAGATGGTTCCACTTCAAAACAAGGTAATTTTCATTTCTTCTTTTTGTTTTTTGTAAACTTCAGATAATTTATTATTGGGTTAGAATTTTTTTTACTTATTCTGATTCAATTTTTGTTTCTTTGGTACTGAATGGTGATGGATAGAGAGCGAGAAAAAGAAGATCGAGTCAAAAGTTAATGCAGAAATGGAGAAGAAAACTGAGGATGATGAAGTTGATCGTAAGGGATCCAAGTCGATTCCAGCCATTCCTTGCATTGATCGATTACGTGAAGAACTTTCTTGTGCGGTAAAAATCAAATCATCATGAACAAGCCTTATCGTTCTTTAAAATCTTAATATAATCCTATACTCATTCCCGTCATCTTCACCCCTACCCAGTAATCATAAAATTGACCTTTTAGTGCAAAATAAGGCCTTTTAAACGAAACAGAAGAGAATCCTTTTGAAAAATCTTGTTTCTATGCGGATTGACGTCTGATTGATTTGGCAGATTTGTTTGGACATATGTTTCGAACCAAGCACCACACCTTGTGGACACAGGTAAAGTAAAATTAATGGCTATTTTGATCTGTCATCATATATAATTTTGATAAATACACTCAATCAAATGGATTGAATTCTGCAGTTTTTGCAAAAAATGCTTGCGGTCTGCTGCCGATAAATGTGGAAAGCGATGTCCAAAATGCAGAGATCTTATCAGGTAAATATCACTTAGCAATCCTGTTCATACAAGGGACTTCTTGAATTAGCCGGCGCCCCTGGCATTTGAACTATTGGGCTGTGTTGAGCCTAATCACATTATACACTTTTTTAGGATATATATTATTGGGTATTCGATACATGTATTAGGTTGTCCTAATTATTTCTTTTTTCATATAAAGATGATATTTTTGGTGATCCTTAACCCTCTCCGATCTAGTAAAAACTTGCAATCTCAAGTGAACTTATGTCTCATATTGATAATGAACCACTGTAATTGCTGCTTTATTTCTTTCGCAGAAAGGGATTGATGCCTTTCTTTACATAATATGGCAGGAATGGTAGATCTTGCACGGTGAACACAGTTCTTTGGAACACTATTCAGCTTTTATTTCCCGAAGAAGTTGAGGCAAGGAAGGCAGCCAGTCCCTCGAGTAATAGTGAATCTCAGCCGAAAAGTCCAGCAAGAGTGAGTCATTACAACATACGAAGCAGAATTATTGATGCCTTGAATAGTCCAGAGCCGGAAACTCGAGACCCTGAAAGAAGAAATCGTATGAGAAGCCGAAGCTTCCGCCCATCAAGCAGAAGAGATGTTAGTGTGACGAGGACAAGAGAGTTGCCAAGCCAAGACGAGGATGCTGCATTTGCTTTGAGATTGCAAAGAGAAGAATTCATGGAGGTTTTTAGGAGCCCCAGTGAGCAGAGAAACTCACTTGCACTAGCAAGAGCTAACTTGAGAGCTATGGCATCACGCGCTGTTAATATTCGTATTAGAGGCCGCGCAGACTAGGCAATGGTTGATTATCGGCTAGTCCTGTCAAATTATCATCATATTTCTTGCCTTCTCACGTCTTTGGTGTAAAAGAATAATGCTATCCATCTAGAGAAATGATCATTATCAATGTCATGTGGCAGTGGGTTCATTGACATAGTGCCCAATGAAGTTGGAATATATTTTTATTTATTGGACAATGAGGTAGTGACACATTGTCATATAGACCGATATGATTATAACGATAAATAAATAGCATTACTCAAATATAAAAAGTGCATTTTGCACAAGAATATGCAATCTCAAGCAGTTCTGCTCTCTCAACCAAAGAAATGCGATGATCAACTCGTAAGTGAATTGTTGGACTTAAGTGGATGACAAGTAGTTCTAGATTCAAGAGCCTACTAGATCACGTTCTCGTATAGACCGATGTGATTATCACGATAAATAAATAGCATTACTCAAATATAAAAAGTGCATTTTGCACAAGAATATGCAATCTCAAGCAGTTCTGCCGTCTCGACCAAAGAAATGCGATGATCAACTCGTAAGTGAATTGTTGGACTTAAGTGGAATGACAAAACAGTTCTAGATTCAAGAGCCGACTAGATCACATAAGCATTATGAATTTGCTAGAGAACATTTAGAACAACCAAACCACAATTCTTAAAACTTACGTATTGAAGAAACTGAAAAAGATGAAGGCCAAAAGCAACTTATGCTCTTCCTTTTTTAACACTCAAGTCTAATAGCTTATATTTCAAAGCACGGACAAGATCATCAAAAGGGAAATTCAAATCTTGAAAACCCGATATGTGAAAGTATGTATCATTACATTCTCGTGAAACATTACATCTCGACTAACGGAAAATTGCTGAATTTAGGACTATGACTTGATAAGCTCATATAGGATTACAGATAACAAATTCGAGTAAATCCTAATCTCAGAAAAGTTTATCTTACAAGAAAAATAAAACACGGGGTGAAGTAGATACCAAGGTGGCACCACGTATTCAAGAACCAAATATAAATATAGCAAGGAATGTATCCCCAAGCTGAGTTCCATTGCCTTTTTCATCATCAAGATATACACACTGCAAAAGCTGTTGTCTTGTTCTAACTTAGTAGGAGAACTCGTGACCTCGTAGTGAAATATACTTCTTGACCCAAATGGCGATGTCTTCAGCACATGCCTGGGCCTGAGGGGTCTTAAGAAGCATGTCAAGGGTTGCAAATTCATGAACTTGATCCTTGTACTCCAGAACAGGCGCATCAACATTTACCTTTCGGAGCTCCTCTGAGTACGCAATAGCCCGATCTCTCATCCAATCATGCTCTGCCACCACTGTCAGTGTCGGGGGCATCTGCTTTAAAGGTGGCCCTCCTCTATCAGCAACAAGTGGGTTGGCCGCGGGATGGTCAAGGTTGAACTCCTCCTCGGACAAGAAAAGTTTCCATGAAAGTATGCACATAGCCTTATCATAGAAGTAGGAATTTGACAATTTAATCTCTGAATGTGTTGGGACACTTCCAATGAAATAAGGATACATCAAAACTTGGGCCACCACCTTAACTGGGTCCAAAAGCTTACCAGCCTCTACAGCTTTCCGTGCCACATAATCAGCAATATTTCCTCCACAACTCGCCCCAAGAAGAACACATCTGTATGAATATGTCAAAACAAGTCAGTAAAGTAGTTCAGAAAGGTTGGGTCAGATAAAAGGAACTTAAACAGAGATAAGATACAGAATTGCATGCATAGGAAATTCAGTAATTTCATCCATCACGTTTCCTAATTCACTTAATGGAATAAAGGCTTTATGTTGTCCTGCAATAATAATTTTCACCAGACGCGTTTCTTCTTTGTTCACCCTATTCTTTTTCTCTTCCTTTTTTGGGCACGGGGAGGGGCAACAAGAGGAGACCTTCCCATCAAAGTGTTCAATTCTGGTTTAACTATAATTGATACAGAAGTGCTTGCATAGCTCTGGAAGAATAAGTTCCATATACAGCCCCAAAGGCTGCTCCATGAGATATTCCAGAGGCAGTTTTGCCATCATTTTTTTCTATCTTCAGCTCTCATGCTAAACAGCATCTGCTCAGTGCAAAATAATGGACAACCTGTTCATCTTTTTTGACAAATAAACCGAAGTTGATTTGAAAGTTCATTCATTCAGTAAATACATCCATCTAATAAAAGTCTTAATATTATTTACCTGATATAATTCACACCATACCTGCATTATTTTTTTCGGGGGGTGGGTGGGTAGGGAAGACTTACCATACAATTGTCCACTTTTTAGGGACTTACAAGTACTACCAACTTATTCATCAATGAATTCTATCTATTTATAACTTAAACCATTTATAAACACTTCCCAAACATGCTCAAATTCAATTCGTGCAAAAGTTGAAGAACTTTCCCCAACTCTTGACAATTAAATAGAGAAAAATATTCCCTCGAAAGGCATGGAATGAAATAAATACGGTAATTATCCTTGAAATTGTTGCTTCCAATTCTCACTTCCACTCTCGCTCACCAGTTTCCCAAGAAAAACGTTGAATGCTATGACATACACCATCTACAACTAATCTACTAGTAAAAAGAATGATCATGAGCAGTTGATGCTCCATAGCTGCACTAATTCCTAATATATTCATGCATGGTATAAAAAGGCGGTAGT